GTAATCAATTTTTATATGTAACGTTTCGTCTCCAGGACTGTCATCAACTTTATTACATTTTTTTGCAAGCCTTCATGACCCCTAATACTGTACTGTACTGCCTCAGCCCGAACCAGATTCAGATGTTTATTTGTCTCGAAAAATTAATCTTCAATGTATTCGTTTCAAATTTATCTAAATTTTTTATTTAAATGTCTTTGTTTATCGAATTATCGTACACTGTAAGTGTCATTAGACCCTGTGTAAGTGTAATCCATCTAGTTATTTAAACTATTACCACCACGCGTTACAATAAAACATTTATTATTATTAAGAACGGAAATTGAAGTCCCGTTTCATCTAACAAAGTACTACAATATTCATATAGATGTCGCTACAGGAAATACATTTATAGTAAAAATAGTACGACTATTTCATTCATTCAAATTCCGGCAAAACTCACCTAAAAAAAACGAGATAATGCCAGGTGCACGCACACGTGCACGATAATGAGTTGTCCGGCCTATACGTCCATCCCACTCTCTTGCTATCTCATAATCGCATATGAAAAGAGGGGTAATAAAATAATAAAAACTCCAATTTGCGGCCGCCGGTTTTTTGTTCTGAAAATATTTCTATTTTCTATCTTCTACATATTATTATGTACATATTTACAAAAAAGGAGGATGGCAAGTGGTTATACAAATTTATAATATTTGCAGCCAACTAAAAGTTTTATTTCATATTATTTTCTACATTTTAGTACTTATATGGATTCGGACCAGAGTAGGTGCGAATGTAATTATTTCTTGTATGGATCTTTGAGCTGTTATCTTTTATTGTTGCGTTGTGGCTGCGAAATATTTTATTTGTGGAGTTTACTATTTTTTATATGAAGGAAAAAACATTAACAGAGTAAGTATTACAATTTGCTAGGCATAGTTGTACTTAGTACTAAATTCAAGTAAATAATAGATATTAAAAATAAATATGTAGGTATATTGTATTTGATTATTTGAAAATAAAAATTACATATGCGACAATGGACTTTCCGCTTACTTAGCCGTAATATAAATATGACATATTGTCGTTGCAATGCACATACAGGCTGTTCCAATAGTGTGACAAAGTTTATAATTATTTTCAGTTATAGTTGTATAGGGCAAAATCTTCAGGCCAAAAACAAGATTTTCTGAACGTTTAATTCGGTCTGAAAATAATGAATAATGGAAATAATAATAAAATGTGAATCCGAGCAAGTAACTTTTTTCGTATCACTACTACAGGCAGTTATACTAAACTTTATCGCACTATTGTGGCACCCTATATATGACTAGATATATCATTATGGTAAATCAAAAGCATAATAGGTAAAAATGTATAATTATCTATGTTTATAACAAATATTATCTGGTAAAATTCTTTTCTTACTTTCAGATACGGAACCGGAAGAAGTCTATATGTTATTTCGTAATATACCTATAGTGGTGAAAACAACCCACTCTATGTAGAACAAATTAAGAAATATGAAGAATTATGGAAAAAATCAATGGCAACAAATTTGGAACAATTTTATAAAAATTGTATACTACCAGAAATAATATACAAAAATATTCCACAGGGAAAAAGATGTATGGATCCAGAATATATTATAGAAACTCAAATTAATAAAAAGAAATAATTTTATTTTATGAATTTTTAAATTTTTTCCTGTTCTACTGTACCTATTCTATTTATTTCTTTATTACTTTCATTTATTTACATATTTATTAAACTACACTGTTCCACAGAATTTCTGTTTATATTGGAGGTATTAAAGTACCTATACTACAACTATTTTTTCAATTGAAGTGAACTGAATACCTATTTCTCATAAAAAAAATTTAGACTCAAATCGTCCTTTTGTACATAATTCTTTACACATTTTTTGGACAAAATAAGTATATCGTACATATTTTTTATATTTTCTCATTATTATGTATATTCACAATTAAAATTCTATTTATATTAATATGCAAATTTTTTTTATCAAGAATTACTTAATATTAATTATTAAAAATATAATATTTTCCATTTCTGTTTATACCAAAGTAAGCCGCTTTATTCACAAATCGTAATTATAACATAACTTTCCGTTATGAACAACTTTTCTTATTAACATTTTTTTATATTATCAAAAACAAAAGCAGTTTATTCTTCAACGTTATTAATTTTGTTAAATTTCTGATCACCCTGTATATATATAAATTACAGTTTTTCATGACAAACATATTCAATTAAAAAGCAAAATATTTTTTGTCACGAATTACTTTTTCTAGTAGAATAGAAAATAAAAATGTTTTCCCTCTTATCCACTAACCGTAGATACTAATATAGGTATATTAATTATAAATTATGGTTTTAAATAAACTAAAAATTGTTTATATTTCATATTTTCTAAAATTATATAATAGTATGGACTTGCACTGTTACTTATATACTTTTATACAAAAATATATCTAAAATGATCATGACATTCTTTAAATATTTACGTATCAATTAACAGAAACCATGACTACCAATTCAGAATCAGGTTATACCAAATTAACCACATACAACAGCTGTTCGTTAAAAATAACCCGAGTCCATTCATAAATAAATTTTTACTAGTGCGACATCTATTACAAATCAAGCGAATTAAAAGTCGGAGATAATGCTATTCATGAATGAATATTTTTTAATAATTTTATTCCAATATAACTTTTTAAATAATAAAGTGATGAACAAACTATGAAATAAAGTCTAATCAGTTTATTTATTTAAAGACAACTATATAAAAAATTGCATAATTCTATAATACTATGAAGAAATAATCGTTTCTTTGTAAAAGTCCAAAAAACCTTCATATTTAGAAATTAATTTCTCACGAATTATTTACCTATCCCAATTAATTTTTGCTTTACTGTCTTCATTTATACTTTGCCAAATGTGATATGAAATTTTACTACTTTCTTCCATTGCTTTAAAAAGATATATTGGAATAAAAAAAGGGCTGTTTTCTACCATTTTTCGGTATAATTTAGGCAACCAGAAATGCATCAGTTTCCATCCTTAACTATTACCATCACTTGGTCATACAGAACTCGATAAGTTGTGTCAAAATTAAAACATTACAATTTTACTGTCAAGCAGTAATATTTCTATTTAAATAAAGATGTCGCTACACCATACATAACGCTGATACAGATGTACTAAAAACCAATGAGTTTTCCAATGCGTCGTTCCTAAATTGTCCACAAGTTGTTGGACCCCGGTGGTTGTAATACTAATGGACATTTGTGTAGCTACTCTGTGTATTTTTAGGCATGGGGTAACACTGTAAATTTTCGTGTAATTGACACAACAATACCGACACGGCTTGTGCTGTATCAACACAACGTGTCAGCACAATTGTGTCATGGTACAGTAAACTGGATCGGATAGATGCAGATGTGTGGTACTGTCTGCGTGTCTGCGCCGCGTTCAATCTCGTTATGACACGCCGCCGGTTCCTTTACATGTTCACAATATAATTCTAATTAGTCCAATTTTTGTAATTTATTTTTGATTATTGTTTTATTTACGTAACCATAGCTATCAGTATTTTTTTAATGTTTCAGTTTTATGTTTTTTTTTAATTTTGCGGTATGTTTTTTATCAAAGATATTTATTTTTACTCGTGTTTTATGTAAATATATAGATATTTTAAACGACTTGAGTTTTAATAATTAAAATACCTAAGTATATTTTGAGTATTAAATTGTTTTACTCACAAGTGTTATATACGTAATAAATAAGTTTTGGAAAAAATATTAAATCGGGGACTCTGTGGCCCCTTAACTCCCATAATCGCTCTTCCGCGGTGTCATAATATAAATTCCCATCCCATCGAGAATCAGGATGGTGACTCGTGACACCGTGCGCCGTTTAGTAACTCGCAATCCGCAATTTCTGCCATCTTGGGTGTTATTAAGTGTCATGGTGTCACGTGGGCTGTTTCAGCACCCATGACACCCAGAGAGGTGTCAACACAAAAGCACCATTCAACACAGTGTTACCCATGACTACTGTGTATGCATCCGAAGATCTGCAGACTCGATTGAATATGATCTAGCGCGCCTTGATGATTCATACATACAGTAAAATATATCTTTGCTAAATTTTGGTCCTAGAAGGCTGATTAAAGCCCCGAGCGCGCTCCCACAAGAGATTACTGTATGTGTATATCCCGTGCAGCAGCTGATCTTGAGTCGCAACTAGTGTCTGTCTGGTGTGCAGCGGGTATGCACGAAAAAAGCAATTTAGTAGTACCAACCCTGGAAGATAATTAAATAAAAATATTTCGGTTATTCCCAATGAAGTCTAGCGAGAATGGCTTGTGTAACCGATAGCAGTTGGGGACACCCCGTATAGGGACCAATGGAGCTGCATTGATGGATTGAATGCTGAGGCATCAGTTTATTTAAAATTATATAGTTTACATTTACGATGTAGAAGTTAGTGTTAGTTAGTCAGTCATATTCCTTCTCGAGTCTCAAGTACTCTCCTTGTCTATGCATTATTATTTTCTCACAATATACTGTTTTACGTTTCACCTGGGTAGTTTTTATTTTCTTATTTGAAAGAGTTTACACTTGCCTATATTCACATGTACACGAATCACGAATTGATGTTCAACTCGTCAGCTAGTCACTGTTCCCAATTCGGCCGCTGTCTTGAAATTGATAAATGCAAAATCAATGTTTCTAGTTTGTGGTCCAGACTCCAGAGCTGACCAGTGTTTATGTTTATGCCATAAGAAATCAATTATTATATTTCACACATGACTTCTAGAGAACTCGCTGCGGTGTTCCTTTCTGAATTACTTCCGCAATCCGGTAAATCCACTACTATAAACATTAGTTACGCATTTTCATAGAAAATAACAGTTCTAATAAACATGTATCCTTAGAATAAAAATAAAAATTTGGTATCCCAGCAACGGCCTTGAAAATTGATGCAGATGTCAGTTAGTCGTTTGTCCTTTTGTCAGACTTATTAGGTTATGTCTGAGTAAACAAACAAATCCAAAATGCAGTGGACTCAAAATTTATGTAGGTGCTGCGGTCAGATAAGTGAAACCTGCCATTCGATTTTCAACAGCGAGATACCCAGTGCTCTGGAAGACAAAATCAAAAAATGCCTCAACTTGAATGTAAGCAACAATTTTACTCCAACTGCCAAACACATTTCTTTATTTTACAGCTGTGCAAAGACGACTACAAACCAAAACAGATATGCAACGGATGCGTGGTGAAACTCAACGAATTTTCAGAGTTTATGGACACTTGCTATGCCACAAATCAAAAATTTGAATCTATTTACTTCAACTCGCCGACCTGGCAGAGCAGAAGTTATGATTACCCTCCCTTGCAGAAGCAAAGTGTGATCGTGAGCAACAAACAGGTACCTGATAATCTTGACATTGAACTGTACAAGAACACGGGTATGGTGTTAGATAATCTCAACATAAGTAACTGTCAGTTAAACGAAACGGACGTTTTAGAGCTAGTAGGTGACGGAAACTACAACACCGAAAACTGTACACAGTACATGAACGACTCAAAGATTAGAAGTCCCTACATCACGGTTTTAAGACACCCTTCCACCACGGAAGAACATAACGCTTCCTCTAGTTACAGTTGCCAAGACACAGGCAACAATAGAATGTGCTACCTAAATAATTCTTACAACACAAACGGTTCGAGCGCAGAACTGAGGGATTTAGAGGAAGATGCGGAGAGTTTAAGAAAAAAAACCGTCACTGTAGATGCGGTACAGAACACCTTAAAGCGACCTGCAAGCACGTACCACAAAGAAAAACTAAAAAAACTACACCCATGCCCACACTGCCTGCGAACTTTTTCTCGTAGAGGCACCTTAAACTCCCACGTAGCCAACCACACAAACGTAAGGCCTTACAGGTGTGAGGACTGCTCGAAATCCTTTGCCGTCAAAAGCGAGCTCACCACTCACAGAAAAGTCCACGGAGACAAGCATAAATGCGTGTACTGTGCGAAAAAGTTCTCGGTTCCCAGTAAACTGCTACGTCACATTCGAATACACACAAACGACAAACCTTTCGTGTGTAACGTGGCTAACTGCGGCAAAAGGTTTTCCGACAAGCGTAATTTGGAAGGGCACAAACTCTTGCATACGTCGGAGAAGAATTACCCTTGCTCCGTATGTGCGAAGTCGTTCAAGACTGCCAACAGGCTGAAGCAGCACTCGAAGTGCCATACGTGCGGCGTAATGTACACTTGCGACTTGTGTTCGAAGAAGTTTAAGTACAAGAGCAATCTGATCAGTCACATTAAAAAGCACAACAATATTTGTCCATACTGTAAAATAAACTGTGAGAGTAAAACTCTGTTGACTTATCATTTAAAGACGTGTAAAGCTCGTTTGTAACTGTGATATCTATGAAATAAATTCTTTTATTTTTCTTTCCCGGTCTTTTGAATTCCTCATACAGGGTGTTTCTTAAGCTGATGTCCAAATTCCAGGGGCGTATTTTGTGGCCTAAAATAAGGCTACGGCGTGTCAAAAATTAAAAAAAATCAGTTTTTAATTTTTAATTTCTAAACCGCTTGAGATAATTTAACCAAATTTGGTGTGCACATTTAGTATGAAAGTAGGTATGAAACAAAAAATTACCAACTTTAGAAACTTACCAGTGGCGGAGGTGTAGGTATCATCGATCATTATTTGCCAAAAAAATATATCACCCTGTATAATATTACAAATAAAATAGGTCATTATATGCGCCATTTTATTATCTTCACTTTTTGTTTCTTTACTTTTTTTGTACTATACTAGATGATATATATTTTTTTTTTGGCAAATAATGATCGATGATACCTACACCTCCGCCACTGGTAAGTTTATAAAGCTGGTAATTTTTCGTTTCATACCTACTGTCATACTAAATATGCACACCGAATTTGGTTAAATTATCTAAAGCGGTTTAGAAATTAAAAATTAAAAACTGATTTTTTTTTTAATTTTTGACACGCTGTAGCTGGACAATGGCTGTCCTAAGACCCCACATTGATATGACAAAAAACCCTTATTTTTGACCTCAGAATATGCCCCTGGATTTTTAACCTCTATTTAAGAAACACCCTGTATATTAGTCAGTAGTTGTTAAGGTGTTTTATTCAAGTTTGGTGGTGCTTAAATAAACAAATCCCTGATAGCTTTTTTACGGAACTGAATATTTACTCCATTAATAATACATGGAAGAAACTCGAGTTGAAAATAAGGAAAATTAAAACTAAAATTGAAGGAAAAAAATTAAAAACTTTAATTTACAGTTTTATTTTATATTGGCCTTCGATATGGAAGTTAGTAGTTAAAGCTATCAAATTTGCATCAAATAAAGGAGCATTTTTATTTTAGAAAAAATTTCTAATAATTTTTGCTGTGTGAGCACCAAATAAGGGCCAACTAGATATGCGGGGATGTTTTTCCTTTAGGAGACAGTTACATTGTTTTAATCAAGGAAATTAAAAACAAAAATTTTTCAGAAATGTGAAATTTTTTGCTATATTCTAACGGTATTAAATATATTGTACGATATCAACAAATATTTGTTGAAATAATAATAGAAAATTTGTTATGAAACTTAATATTTACTTCAATGATAATATTGATAAAGTTGTTCACTAATTAATATACAAGGTGTTTATTAAGTACTTGTACAAACTTTAAAGAGTGAATCTTTGACTAATTTTAAGATAACAAGTTCATATGAAGATGGGTCCGCAACGGCTTGGTTCTTAAGGTACAGAGCGACCAAAACAAAATTTTTGTTTGGTATTTTGATTATATTTTTGTTCAATAACATGGCAATTTGACGAAATTCGGGAAACTGGGAGTATTGATGATGAGAAACTCAAATATTTACTTAGTTTTTTGTTTATGTTAGGGGGCGCCACATACAGTGTTGTAAATTATTTAAATTAATTAATTAAATTAAATGTTAATTTAAATAACCATAACTTGTGTTGCACTGTATGTAATTTTTAACTAAATACAGCTATTCCTCATTCAATTTTATGCACAAGAAGTATGCCTAGGATTTATTTCTGAAAGAAGCAGTTTTGTAAAAAATGGGTTTAAAATTAAACCTGCGCTGGAGTTTTGTAAGTTGAATCATTGAGTTTTTCAAAAATAAGTGAACAAATGTGTGTATTATTGTTTGTATTGCGATATGACAAACTTAGATTTACAAAATTAAGACTAAACTATTTCTGCAAATAAGTTAATAACATTTACAATAATTGAAACAAACAAAAATAATTTTTTTTTTAACGCTCTATCTTAAGAACCAAACAATTGCAGATTCATATGAACTTTTTATCTTAAAATTATTCAAAGATTCACCCATTAAAGTTTGTGCAAGTACTTAATAAACACACAATTTTTTTTCCTAAACACGTATAAATGGGCAACATTACACTGGAAAAAAAATATTTATTTCCTTTTGATTTGAATTTATTTTTCTGATACAATTTTTTGTATTCATGTCATTAACGTAGTTTCATTTATTCTAACCAAGATTTTTGAGAAAATAATTTGATATGTTTCGTATTGAGTTTATTTAAAAAGGAATAATTGTTATTTTATTATCAAACAAATTATCTACATGATATTTATTGAAATATCAAAGAATTTCTCCGACTGGACTGGAAACAATAGTTACAGCAGTTCCCTCGTGTAAATTATTTGGTAACCTTTATTTATAACGCCCTGTACGCTTTGTAGAAACAACCAAGTATACACGAAGTGAAATAGAGTTCCGCAAGGGTCAGATCTAGGTCCACAAATGAAAAAAATTTTCATTAATGACTTGTCTAATCTGTAATGCTAATATTTCTCATTTGGAACCTCAAAAGTAAATAAAATCTTTAGACAGAAAAATTAATGAAATAAACCCTTGTGCAAAAAAAAGAATCAGTCGAGTAATTTTTATGAAAATAATAGTTTTGCCAAGGCCAATGCGATCTAGCAACTTCATTGATATGAAAAGTCAAGCAATGCTGATTGTGACCATCCAGGGAATGCTCAAGATGCTCGTCCACCTTCTAGTGGCTGGTATGTCAATGTATCCACAGAAGCTATACAAATATTCTTTGGAAATGATATAAAACTGTTGGGGTTGCTCATCCCGACATCGGCGTTTAGCTTAGTATCAGAAATAAGCCGACGTAAAATAATGAAAAAAAATTGCTTTGCCTAAACAGACAAATAAAAGTCAAATACACATTATACACAACTATTTTTATATCAATAGCTGCCGACTGTTCCCTTTTGGCTAAAGCGTTCACAGAATAGTGAAATAGAGAAGTACTAAAAAAAAAGTTGTATTTAATTCATATGGGAGGGTATGTAGAAATAAAAGCCATATTTTCAGTATACATATATTGTTTAACCATGTTAAAAACTTTGCGAGTAGAAATTCTATCAGCTATAAATAAAAAACATACAATATAGGTAACAATGGAAAAATTAATTTTGTATCTACAAAGATTTAATCAGATAATACAATATTAGGTATATTTTCAGTCAATTTTGGTTCAAATTTAATTTTCCTGACGGGACATTTCAACCGTCTAAACTCTATTGTCGCTTAATACCCATTACAAATGTAATGATTATAATCTAAAGTGGTTAATAATTATTTCATTATGAAACAAAGAACCGTAGTAATTATGCAAAAAGTAGTGGCAAAATCCGAAATTATGAATTTATCAAAAATACAAAAATGTGTTTTTCCAAAATTATAGACAGAAATCAAAGAAACTATTGACATACATCTTGATTTCTTATTTTTTAAAATTATGATTGTACTTTTAATAGGAAAATTATTTTCCTAGACTACATTCCGTTTTTATTAACGGATAGTTTTTCAAAACATTGAAATCGTGCCAATTTTTAACAAACTCCCGACACTTATTCACTTTAAATTTAAAAACAGTTATTTTCTCGTCCAAGTGACTAGTTCTTCATAATGGAAAATAAAAAGTTGCTATATAAGATTTACGTAATAATCCACTCTTCATATAGTTCTCTAAGGTCTCCTACATTAAAAGAGAAATTAAATGAACCAGATTTGAGACGTTTTTTTCCATTCCGTGTGCGTACTAATACAGTCTTAAGAGCGAGTGTCTCACGCTGCCTTAACTCAAAAAAATCTTTTACATAGATGACGAGTAAAGCCACCGACAGATGGACATTGCTAAATTTAAAAACCTACGAATACGAACACTACTCTTTGACCCTTAAGTTCTGTATAGACTTAGAAACGACCTCTACCTCGGATGGTTTACTTAATCCGCAATCCGATGCCTGAGCGGTCTCCGCAATAATACTTTCTAATGACTTGGCTTTCTTCAAATACCTTATCTCATCTAACGAGCTATCTAAACAGTCATCGATCACGGTCTTAACTATATCTACAGTCTCTTTGTCGTTATTCTCAGATCTGGTCCGGTGCCTCTCCTTTGGCAGCTTGTACGGTTTGTACCTAACGTGGGAAGCTACCGGCTTGGCTCTGCAACCGATAGACACATTGCTGACGTACCTAGTGTTTATCATCACCATGTTTGGGTACTTTTTGTTCTGGATTTCCGACAAATACTCCTCCCTGGACTTGACACTGTTGGCCAGCATTCCTAGCTCGTTTAGGGCACTATCTAGTTCACTCAAACATGGTCTTTGAACCTAGAGGCAACGATTACTACTGTTGTAACATTTATTTACTTGTTATCCTTGTGTTTCTGTAGATAAACAATCAAAAAACTTTGTACCCCGAGTGAAAAGTGACAAACAAACCGTTTACATAATCAAAATAATTAAGAAACTAAAAATATCCTTTGTAATGATACCTAGTCTATTTTTAGATGGAACTGTTTGACAAAATTTTTTAACCTCAATCAGAAACTAAACAACAGAAAATGTTAGGACAGAAGAAATTTGTAAAACAGTATATGAAAAGTTGTCTCACCTCGGTCTCTACATCTTCGCAGTACATTTTCCCCTGGATAGAAAATTTTCCCAAATGTTTACATTCGTTCTCAACCTGGATGGTGCGCTTGATTTGATATGTCAAGAAGTCGAACATCAAAACAAGTGTTGGAAGAAGATGAAAGATATTGAACTATCGCGAGTTAAACAAGGACGAACACACGTCAAGCCTTACTTACACTAGAGCTAGAAATGAGAGTGGGTAACGAACGTGTTGGGAGATAGGGTTACTCCGTACAATTTTGTCAAGGCTACACCAGCCGCGTATCCTATGGGAATTCAAAAACCATACATAAAAGAAATATACAGTCATAAATTAAATGCTTTGTCCATTAAATTTTAATAGACATTATTATTACACAACGGTACCTCCGAATTCTTGACACACGCACCGAGTTTCGTGAATATTGGCGAGTAAGCTCATTTCACCCACCTTTACAAAAGTTACATATCCATAATGTGTGCTTATTGTTTTTAGGGGGTGAAAACTACCTCTTCTTGTAAAAAACGTAAAAACCATAAATTTAAGTGTTATGTCAATAGAATAAGCATTCTTTTATGTTTTGAATAATTATTTTTGATTTGTAGCAACATTTCAACCCTTAAAATCCACCCTTTATGAGGAAAAGAAACAAAAATTAGTTTTCGCGGCTCTGAAATGTTTTGACGGAGCAATAATGAAGAATTGAATATTTTTTACTGTTTATGAAATAATACATGATTTATTGCAACGTTTCAACCCTTAAAAACCACCCTTAATGAGGAATTGAAGAATTTTTACCTGCTTCAAAACACTCAACGATACATTACTGAATTTAACGAAATTACTTAAAACTCGAAACTTAAATTATGTAATTAGTGAAAGGGAAAATAAAATTTGTTTGTGTATTATACAATTATATTTTATTATCAAAAATTTACACATCATCTAAAGAATTATCATCACTGTCGACTTCCTCTGTTTGGACATGTGCGTGTATTTTGCCTCGGAAACTATCGGATATTATAGACCAGTGCTTGGGGAAGGGGGTGAGTTTTTAAGGGTAAAAAACGGTTTATCTTGATTTCCGGAAAAACTACAAGTCTTATGGAAAAAAGTTAAATGGCAAAGTTGTAGGTAATAAAAAGATCTACAACTTTTGTATTTACACTTTTTTCACATAACCTCAAAATGTATGTGAAAAATTCAAATAACCAAGTTTTTGGTTTTTTATTTTTATCTTTTACAAACAAA